ACAACCAAAATAAAAAATAAAACAAAAAATCTTACCTAAGACTTATTGATCACGGGATTCGCAAGCAGCTGAACGATCGATTTTTTTGTGAATAGGGCAAGGGGAAATGGGGAGGCGTCGACTTGGTAAAGTAGCAAGGATAAGTCGCCTTTTTAATAAGCGACTTACCTTAAATAGAAAAGTCATCCATTAAACGGACGACTTTGGCGATTTAAAATTTGTTTTCCATTGGTTAATCCATTAATTATAACTTAAACTATGTTTAGTTTAAAAAAAATCCTAAAAAATTTGAGAAAAGTTTATAGGCTATAAATCTAGATATCCTCTATGACTTATCTCCAATTCAAACTCATCAACCTCTCAACCCCAAAAGATAGCATTAACTCATAAAGCCCAACTGATGCATGAACTTAACACCCATGAAATACTTTTAAAGCACATTTATTGCACATTGAAGTGGATTTCTTGATGCCGAAAGTGCACCTTCCATGGAATTTTCATACCTTTGACGTGTCCATCTCCTCATTTTGAATGTTGTGATGGTACAATTTGGCATTACTCCGAACAGTACAACTTGATAATCTCCAACAATTCTCACATTACCATGCGCCAACCGTTGCTCAAGAATAGAACCTACAACCAGGGGTGTAGCCTGCATTTTTTTTCTTACAGGGGCATAAATTGAAAATTTTTAAATACCCTCAACCTATTTTATTTGGGTTTTAGATTAGTATTAGTGGTTTTAAAATAATTTTTTTGATAGACTTGTCGTTATAAAAGTATGTGATAAAGAGAAACAATTGATAATATTTGCTCTTCATATTTTTCTTACATATTACTTATAATTTCTCTCATCGAGTCTTCATATTTTGAAATCATTGCACAATCATTTAATTATCTATATTATTAAATTGAAATTCAAAATATATATTTGATCTTACATATATAATCTAAGATGACTCTCTCTAATCTTATATGCCACTGGAGCTACTTCAACCTTTTCACGTATATACTTATTTTGCATTCTATCTCTAAGAGTGAAGCAAGACATCCACCTGAGCATCCTCATCTATACAACACTTAATTTTTTTTTAACTAAAACCCACAAAGGGAGATACACATTAATAAAAAATAGATACAAACATAAGGGACCATAACAACCTAATGCTCCTAAGAGCTACATCAACCTAAGAAAAAACCCAAGCAACAATACAAAAACAACTCAAACCAAGAAGCTAGAAACCCCTCAAAACAAATGCAACACATCAATAAACCTAATTTACATAGATTGCATCCTTATACCCATAGAGTTTAATAAGCCCCATATGCTTCAAGAAAACAATCCTTATCATCAATTGTCCAACAGCATCTCATGTAACCATAGATCCATCAACACCACAATTCCTTGCTCAAGTAACTTCAATATCCAACTTCATAAAAAAATCACCCGCAAAATCAAAATAAAAACCAACAGCAACAAAGTATTTTAATGTTTGTCATTTAATGGCCAACATTCGGTACATTAACTTAATTTTATGTTTGTGTTTTAATGGCCAACATTTTGTGCCATAAAACATTATAGGCCTCACTACCATCTTACAGAATTTTCCTATAAGTTTGAGGGGTACTTTTCTATCACACAATAGGCCTGATGCATTCTTCCATTTCAACCATTCAACTTGAATTATACTAATAATATACCCATCTATTTCATCATCACTTTGAACAATAGACCTGAGATATCTAAGATTTATACACTTATTATTGACTTAATCGTCAAAAGTCATAGTCCCCCCACTAGATCTATTAATACTAAAATTACACTCCACGTATTCATTTTTAAATCTACTCAAATAAAAACCTTTAGACTATAAGTTGACTTCCATAGTTTGAGTTTATCTTAAACTCTCCCTCTAGTCTTATCAACAAGAAAGAATATCATCAGCAAAAAGCATATATTATGGTACATCCTCTTGCAAATGTCTAGTAACCATGACTAGAGCAAAAAGACAAAGGCTTAAAGTTGATCCTTGATGTAATCCAACTAAAATAGGAAAATATTTGGTCAAACCATCTTGTGTTTGAACACCAGTAATAGCTCCTACATACATATCCTTGATGACTAAAATATAAGCATTATTAACCCCTTTATTTTCTAGAACTCTCCAGAGCACTTTTCTTGGAAATTTATTATATGTTTTTTTCTAAATTAATAAATATCATATGTAGATCCTCCTTATTCTCTTTATACTTCTCCGTCAAACCTCTCAATCAATGTATAGCTTCCATATTAGACCTACGCGGCATGAATCCAAATTGATTTTGAGAGACATTAGTATCACATCATAAACTATGCTCAATTACTCTCTCCCATAGTTTTAAAGTATGACTCATTAACTTATTTCCTCATCATAACCTATGCCATCATAACAGAATAAAAATATTAAAAAAGAAGAAAATGACTTGAGAAATTTAAATCCGACTTCAAAACTAAATAGAACACATGATCCCTATTGGTTGTTACAATACTTCATGCTTTATAATAGCAGTTCCTTATCGCAAATATCATCACTAAGATTACCCCACAAAAATCTCTAAAAACAAACGAGAGGCTCAAGGCAGAGCTACAGAAGACAACTTACATGTTTATACATTGGGGTTAGATTTTATAAAACTTTAAATCTGAGTGGGTGGTTTTTATTTATGTGGAAGACTCCCATTAAACCTAATTTATATAGGAAGGTAAAAGAGTTTGCTAGGCCAATGGGGGCCCGTACCCCAATGCCCCCACCCTGGCCCCGCTTCTGCCTATAACAAAGAAATCAACTTCTCTTTTTCCTCAAATAAAGGTGCTCTAATATAGATGATGACAAAACTAACAACAAAATTTGTGCGCTACAATATATAGTCTAAAACTCTCTTCGCCTTTATGAAAATCTAGTCACCTCTAAAAATTTTAAGGACTTCAAAATCTCCTGAGAACTCATATCCTACATCACTTATAGTACTCAAGGATAAAAAATTCTCCTTAAGACCTAGCATAAACTTTACTAACATAAATATTTTAGTCTCACCACAAATCATTAATTTACACACAGAATATTTTCACATATAAATAAAGCTATTCGTACAAAGTTCATTAGTGAAAATAATTCCTTATGAGGACATATGATATGAACAAGCTAAATAAAAAAAATCAATTATCATTATATATATATATATATAAGTATCAACGAATTTATGGAATAATGCCAACGCCTATTAAATTTTCCTCATAATTATCATTCACAAGCTGCTCGTTCTTCTTCAAAGCTTAACAACCTTTCTTTATGTGTCCTTTCTTTTTCCAATGAAAGCAAAACACATGTTTGAATCTGCCATGAGACTTTGTTATTATTAGAGGCAGACCCTTCTAAAAAAGTCTCCACTCAACCAACAATACCTCAACTTGCTCTTTATTTTTTAATCGTCATCCTTAGCAATCACATCCTTAAACATAAGTGAATTTTAATATCTCATAAACCAGTGATATCTCCACCACATAACATAATATCACGAAAATGTATATAAGAGAGAGGTAAAAAGCATCATAATAACAAAATTTGATCCTCTCTATCAAACATCACATCATATTCTTTAAATTCTAAACGTGAAATTAAATTCAATAAGATATGTTAACAAATATATAATCTTGCAAGCATGAAGAGTATAATTTTTATTTTTTTATGAAATTTGTTGGAGAAACTTTTGTTCATGCAAAAAGACTCCAATTTCAACCGCAGCACCTCTGCAATTTTTTTCTTCTATTAAGACCTCCTATGCCTAACACAATTGTTTCATCAGGAGACATTTTTCATCCCTCTCTATTTCATCTTCTTTATTCACTCTTAGGTTCAATTAAATGTTTTATGAGTGCTTTCAAAAGTTCCTATTGGACAACACACCTCCCATCTTACTTCTTTAAAGCCTAAAATTTTTTGAACCATTAAACCTTTCTATCTCATACATCATGGATATCATATTTTGAAATAAGTTTTGATATTGGTTCTTAGGAAAACACCAAACTTCTATATGAAAGCACTTAGAATGAATACAACAACAACATCAAGCCTTTATCCCACTACATGGGGTAGGCTACATGAATCCTTTTTCTCCCTTGTGTCCTACTAAGAGTCAAATTCTCGCTTAGAATGAATACACAAAATAATAATAATAAAATACAACATTAATAGAAGACAACAATATTTATGTGGTTCAATGAGAATAAATCTACATCCACGAGCAAGAAGAGAAGATATTATCTACTATAGAAAAATCACAGGTGCATAAATAAAAAGGACACAAGAAAATACTTTTCCTGAAATTCAACTGTAGCCAATCTCACCATAAAATAGAAGGCTCAAATGTGTTAACTTAACCAAAGAGAGAATAACATAAGAGAGATTACGAATAAAAAATATTTGAAAAATATCAAAAATCACCGGCTTAAATGTTATCTAAAACATAGTTCCAACATGTCTATGGAATTGTTGTAAAATTTCTAGCACAATTGTACTTCGACACAACAAGATAAAACTCCGTGGCAAAAAAAAATATCCTATTTTTAGCAGTGTTAAGGAGGTGATTTCAAATCTAAAGCAATTTTAAATTTTAATTTAAAGTCTATCCAAAATAATAAATTAAATAAAAAAAGTTTTCAATATTTATCCAAAAACATAGTTTTATCCTAAAGGTCACCTGTTTTGAATTCGTATATATCCTAGCAAATTATTGAATAAAAAAATCTTGACAAAGAAAACGTGCATGAGGAATATCAACTTTCTACAAATCAAACTGTGCAACGGACTTGATATAAATAACAAGACGAAAAAAAAGACCTTTGTTTCCATGTAATCTCTACAAAATTAAATTTGCAAAATAAGGCATGAATTATGTCATGGAGAGAACCCAGATTTTCATCTTCGCCTGGCCGGAAAAATATTCATACAACTACAAGGGAATCATTTATGGGCCAACATAAGAACAATGAATAAAGTAAATTCCTTAAATAAACCAACCTTTCCTATTGGTGCAGATAACAATCCTGAGGAATGTTTTGGCGTTCCAATAACCAGCGCCCAGTATTTCCTTTGCAACACTCTAGAAGCATTCTTGACACTCTTCAAGACAAAATTTCATGAAAGAAAAGAAAGGGAATCAATTCTCTAAGTCCATACAAAATGAAGACAAATCTAAGAATCGACATTTTTTTTGGAAATTTTGCTTGCAAGCATGACATCACTTACATGCTTCAAAACTCTAGAAGTCTTTTCACGGAAGATCGAATGCAAGATAGAAGAGCTAATTTGGGTTCTTCCAAGAACCAGAAGACCACTACAGTCTCTATCAAGCCTGTGCACCTGATATTATCCAAAGGCTTATTATCAGCGTGTAAGACTCATAGAAAAAGTCATGTAAATCTATTAAGCTTTGTTTGTTTGAGCGTTTTTTTGCCTTTTCTGTTTGGAAATGGAGATTTTTTTTTTTTTGGTTCGTCAAATCACATTCCCAATAACTCCTTTTTTTCATTTTTCTGTAGTTTTGAGAAAGCTTTTTATATATATTTCTCCGTTAGAAAACTCCATTTTTTTGAACTAATGTTTTTTAAAATTGTCTTTTACAAAAGCACCAAAAAAACAAACGAAGTCTAAAGCCCATCCTTAGTTATATGGCAACGGGCAATATTAACATCAATCAATCATGATAATATTTAGTTGCATTATTGAATATGAAAAAAAATGACTTTTTTTGTCTTATTTCATATAATTCTTAAATATTAAAAAAAAAACAATAGTAAAAAAACCAAGGCAGCAAAAACTTAATAACATTAGATATAGGATATGATTGGCAATGGATTGCATGGAGCTCAAGTACTAAAAAATCAAATCCAAATAAAAAACTAATTAAGGTCTAATACTATTGTGAGTAATGCACAAGAGTGCGAATTATAGAGGAATTAAATTAATGTGTCATATTTTAAAACTATGGGAGAGAGTAATCGAGGATAAGTTATGACGTGATACTAATGTTTCTCAAAATCAATTTGGATTCATGCCAAGCAGATCTACTGTGAAATCTATACATTTATTGAGAGGTTTGATGGATAAGTATAGAGAGAATATAGAGGATGTACATATGAAATTTATTGATTCAGAGAAATCTTATCAAAATCAATTTGGATTCATGCCGGGTAAGTCGACTATGGAAGCCATACATTTATTAAGAGGTTTGATGGAGAAATATAGAGAAAATAAGGGGGATCTACCTATGATTTTTAATGATTTAGAAAAAGCATATGATAAAGTTCCAAGATAAGTGCTATGGAGAGCTCTTGAAAAGAAAGGAGTTAATAATGCTTATATTCAAATCATTAAAGATATGTATGTAGGAGCCATTACTTGTGTTCAAACACAAGGTGCTTTGACCAAGTATTTCCCTATTTCGGTTGGGTTACATCAAGGATCAGCCTTAAGCACATATCTTTTTGCTTTAGTCATGGATGTTCTCACTAGACATTTGCAAGAGGATGTACCTTGGTGTATGCTTTTTGCTGATGATATTCTTCTTGTTGATAAGACTAGAGAGGGAATTGAAAGTAAACTTGAATTATGGAGGTCAACATTAGAGACTAAAGATTTTCGCTTGAGTAGATCTAAAACGGAATATATGGAGTGTAATTTTAGTAGTAATAGACCTAGTGAGGGGATTGTGACTTTGGGCGATCAAGTCAAGGTAGGGGCAGATCTAAAAAGACTTGGTTAGAAAATATTAGGAACGACATTTCTTTATTAGATTTAAATGAGAAATTTGACCTTTAATAGGACACAATGGAGAAAAAGGATTCATGTAGCCGACCCCACGTAGTGGGATAAAGGCTTGATGTTGTTGTTATTGTTGAGAGAAATCTTATGATAAAGTTCCAAAAGAAGTGCTATGGAGAGTTTTAGAAAAGATGGAGGTTAATAATGCTTATACTCAACTCATTAAGGATATGTATGCAGGAGCAGTTACTTGTGTTCAAACACGATGTGGTTTGACCAAGTATTTTCCTATTTCAGTTGTATTATATCAAGGGTCATCTTTAAGCTCATATCTTTTGATTTAGTCATGGATGTTCTTACTAGACATTTGCAAGAGGATGTACCCTGGTGTATGTTTTTTACTGATGATATTCTTGTTGTTGATAAGACTGGAGAGGAAGTTGAAGGTAAACTTGAATTATGGAGGTCAACCTTAAATTCTAAAGGTTTTTATTTGAGTAGAGCTAAAATTGAATACATGGAATGTAATTTTAGTAGTAAAAGATCTAGTGGAGGGATTGTGACTTTAGGCGATCAAGTTATTAATAAGAGTACATATTTTAGATATCTTAGGTCTCGTGTCCAGAGTGACGATGAAATAGATAGAGACATTATTTGTAGAATTCAAGTTGGATAATTTAAGTGGAGGAATGCATCGCGCCTATTGTATGATAGAAAACTACCCTAAACTTAAGAGAAAATTCTATAAGATGGTGGTGAATCCTATAATGCTTTATAGTGTAAAATGTGGCCATTAAAAGAGAGGCATACAATTATGTTAAGTGTTGCAGAGATGAGGATGCTCAGGTGGAAAAGTGACTTTACTCTTAGAGGACAAATGTAAAACAAGTGTATACGTGAAATGGACGGAGTAGATCTAGTGACAAATAAGATTAGAGATAGTCGCCTTAGATGGTTTGGGGATTTTTTGATTGGCTTTCATTGGATTGGTTTGCCTTTGCGGGTGAATGTGGCATGGGCAATGATGAGGCGACTTTCTGCTCACCATCTGGTCGGAAGTTCTTTATTGACAACCACTGGTGCACCGTCTCACTACAGGAAATTCAGCTGTTATCGGCGGTTGTATAGCCGCCGGTAATAACGGTGGTTTGGCCGCCAGTTAATTCCGGCGGCCTAACCGGTGGTTATTTAAGTATAGGCCGCCGGAACTAGCGGCGGTCATATAACCGCCGGATTAACCGCCGAACCTAAATATTACCGGCGGTATACCAGCGGCTACAACAGCCAGTGTTAAGTATTTTGCCGCCGGAACGCCGCCGGTAAAAGCCCTAAAATTAACCAGCCCGAGCCTCCCATTTCATTTCTCTTCTTCCCTTCTCTCTCTTCGGCCGTGCTCCCCCGTCGCCTCTCGCGCGACCGAGCGGCTTGACAACCGCCAACACCTGTCTCCGGCCGCCGGCGTTGTCCGACGATTATCCGGTGATACACCGGCGGTGTCTACCGCCGGCAATGCCGTCAGCGATGACCGCCGGGTAGCCGCCGGTCCTTTACCGGCAGTATGCCGACGCTGTCCGGCGGTTATTCGGCCTCATGCCGGCGGCTATAACCACCGGCTATGCCGTCGGCAAGGACCGCCGGTTAGCCGCAGGTAATAAATACGGCGGTTTGACGGCCGAAACGCCGCCGGTAATAAATCTGGTAATAACCGGCGGTATAGGTCGCCGTAAAGCCGTCGGCGAAATAAACCGCCGGAGAAACAACGCCGGCAACGGTTTCTGACGCCGTATTTACCGGCGGCTTTGGAACCGCCGAAAAGCCGCCGGTTAGTTTTAAAACCGCCGGTAATGCCAGGTTAACTGCCGGTAATAGCTGAATTTCCTATAGTGCCTTCTAATTCTGATTGGTAGCCTTTGTTTGAGATGTGAGGTTGTGTTTAGTTTGTGTTTTGTGCTTGTTTCCTCCTCTAGATGGTCGCTGCCTTCCTTTTGGGTCGTTGGCAAAAAGCTTCTTGCCATTAACTGAGCCCGACTAACTTGTGTCTTACTTACTATCTATTTCCTCTTCTTTGTTGTTTTAGTCTTGTAATTGTGATTTTGTCCTTTGTTGGGCTTGCTTGTATCCTCCTATTACTGATGGAATAAATATCCTCTTTTATTTAAAAATAAAAAATAAAATTTTACCAATAGGAAATCATGAAATCCAAACTAACCCCAAAAATGAAAAACAACATCATTAGTATTACATAACATTATAGGTATATAAATCCATACTCTTGCTAACTTAACTAGCTTATTATAACTATATTTGCAAAGTTCAAATTACAAACTGATTGTCGTAACACAAACATTTCACGTTTTCGATGACTATAAACTTTGAGATTCACATAATTAATGCTCTTTAAATTGTAGCATTCATGTATGGAATGCCATCAACAGATCAAAACTTATATGCTCCCTTAGCTTCTCTTCTGATTTCTCCACGGTAAGTCTCCAAGAAAAAAATGAATTTCCCCTTCGGTAGTCAATCATTGAACATTCCTGATTATACATATGCTATATTTACAACAAAACCAGTCCGAAGAGTTGTAAATTTATGAATAACTAATTCATTTTTCAGGCATAAAATATTCCTCATGCTACTTGAGCGACGTGAATATCTCCTGCATTCAAATAACCCATTTATTATTCATCAAAATTGATGTCCTTTAATAGACACTCTTTCAGTGCAAGTCAATTAACAATTTAAGTAGGAGGTAGGAACAAGGAACAAGTTCGATCTTATTTCATCTACCTAAATGGTTATAACATATTGCTGGTCAAACCATGAAACTATGAAAGCAAAAACCAAATCAAACAAACACACATGATTTATATATGAACAGTATTTTTAGTTCCAACTCACCAGTTTAGGTGATTCTGGACAATCAAATTTCAAGGATGTGGCAGCCAATACATCGATGCTGTTTTTTATGCCAAAGCCCCCCTTTTAGAATAAACTTGAGAAAAATTAGCTCATATAAAAATACAGATCATCGACATCAAAACTACAAAGATTTAATTAATCACCTGAGTTGGTAAACCATGGGGTTTGTTGATTACAATGATGGCAGAATCCTGAAATAAGGAATTTACTAAGCAAGCATTTGGCAATGCCAGCACAGAGGGAAAGAAAATACAAATAACCTTATACAAGATGAGGCTGCGGATAAACTTGATCTCCTTGTGATTGTCGCGTTGCTCCTTATCTTTCTTTGTGAAATTTTTCACTGTGATGGGCAAAAGGATCACCTCTCCTGAAGTCATCACCTCTTTTGCTGAGACCTTAAAAAAGTGTAAGAGAGTAAAAATTCCATGAATAGAACTCCAAGCACGTAATCCAATCAATCCTTTTTTTAAAATATTGGCCTTTGATATACAAGGGGCTGTGATTTCAGGTCACTGTTATTACCCTTTTAAGTTGATGTCCTTCAAATTGAACTCGGGAAGAAGCATTGATAGAAACCAAGTCTTTCCGCACCTGCTCAAGATATATAAATTTATCCTTCAGCAAAAAAGGTATGTATTAGAGTATGGTAAAAAGTAATAGCCAGTTGATCATTGCAGTTTATTATTCAAGAAAGCATGGATTAGAACATCGTTGTTGACCACATTTTTGGCTAGACCTCATCATTGACCCTAGGCCTTCTAGACAGACCCTATGACCTTAAGTGGTTAGGCCAGCTCATACTTGACCTAGAACCGACCTAACCCTCCATTAGTCTAGCCTTTGACTTTTAGCCTTGAATCCAATGACTGCACTTAGTCTTTTGAGATTTTATCCTAGGCTGTCCCTCTAAGAGGCCCAGATTAGATGACTCGACTCCAGTCACAATCAAGTTCACCCAATTGGCTTAAACCTATAAGTGAGCAAAATGGGATCTAAATCAGTCATTAGACCCTTAGAGGTCGACCGTGGCTTAGAACCTCTTTAGATAATTTAGAGACCCCTTGTGAGTTCCTAGTGAGATGTCGACATCAAATAGATGATGATTCCTTGATGACTGGAAGCTCCTTCATTGCCCTTCGACCTTCTATGCGATTCGGTGAACCCTCTACTCACCACGGACTACGTTCTCAACATTTGTATCGATGACTTTCTTCTGAACCATTGTACTGGCGACTTTCATTTCTTGTGTGGATAGCATTTCAGTCAAACTTCGTTCTCCGCCTTTGTTTTTGAACTTGTTCTCGTCCTTTAGTTGTTGACACCCTTCTTGGCCTTCAGACATTAAAATCTTGCACTAGACCTCACCACTAAGTTTATCTTCTTAGCCTTTGAGCTGAATTCATTCTCAGCCTTTAGTTGTCGAATTTTTTCTTGGCCCCAAGGCAAGTTCCCATGTTAACTTGACTGAAATCTCTTTAGGGGACAATAGTCGATGATTTATCACTAAAACATAGGAGAATAAACAATATCCTTAAAAATGTACTTTTCAACATCGTTTGGGCTAAAGGTAGGTGTCATTTAGCCAAGGTTAACCTTGACTTGTGCACCCCAACTGTCCCATCATAGGATCTTTCCTTTTCAATAAAAGTTGGGGAAGTGTATCATCAGTTTTACCAAAAATGGCAACTTGACAACCAAGGCATTGCCCAACTTGTCATCAGTGGTGACTGCAGTCACAAGGGAAAAGGCTACCACATTCTTTTTCGCCCTATTAACCCCACCCCCCCCCCCCCCCCCACTCAACTTGGAAGATTATGCATTAGAATAAACGACTAGTGCAAAACTTAGCGTGTGGGAGTTCCCTAAGAGTCGTTGTCCCAGTCCTCTATCATCACCAACTAAGAAACTTGTGCCTCCATTCCCTAGTGCTTTAGCCTTGCTTACTACAACAGGGCTTCCAGTAATCCGTTTACCTTACAGTCAAGGCTCCATAAGAGATGAGGTCTCCCAAGTTCCAACACATAGGAAAATCCTTGGTGGCCCTTCTCTATTTGGCTCTTAATGAGATGATTGAGGAAGGGTTGGCAAACCTTATGTATCTTGAAGCTAGTGACTTTTAAGTCGCCATCTTCCCTTTGACTGGGGATTAACGGCATGTCAACAATTCATTGGTCAAAGTTTATTTTCCGGCAAGTGTACCCATTAATAACAAATGCTTTCAGCTAGAAGTCGGTTACAAGATGCAAAATGACCATCTTGGGCTGAGACTAGTCTTCAGCATTTGTGAGGTGACATCTTCAACTTGTCAAAGACAGTGATTTCTCTTCGTCGGCATTAGGCTGACAACTCCCATCTTGGTGACTTTTATGGTCGACAATTTATGTTATCGCATAGTTCAACTCATCATAAGTTTCTCCCTATGTGAGTCATTCTCAATTTTCCATTTCTACTAGTCAAGCTCTTGAGCCAAGATTCCCTTTCACCAACGGTGCGATGGAGTTGTCGGTGGCCCTTTGACTTCATGAGGTTCTTTCCATAGTTTTCCTCAAGTAAAACTTTCACTCATTGAGGAAGGTGGATGATAACCAGAGCAACCATATGAAAACTCCCTCTCTCACACTCATTTGACCCCACAAAACTATTCACTCTCTCAGCAAATCTTTCTCTCCCAAGCCTAAAGTTAATCTTTCAAACTCTCTCTCTCATAGAAGACTCAAGCCCCCTTGACTGTCAAATGCTCTTCAAAACGAATTAAGAGTTATTTAAATATAAGGCTCCAAGAAAAACTCTAATTTTCAATTTGATTGTCATTGAAGATCATACAATACGATTAGTTCAATTCTCCCTTTAGTATTGTATGAATAATTGTTCAATGTACGATCAATTCAAAATTTTCAAATGATTGTCCAGTATGATCTTATGATCATACAGTACGATTAAAGATCGTAATGGAGGATCAGTTTAATCGAATCGTAGTTCGTCCAGGACGAACTCCTAAACAACCAAACATCATCTCTATCGACTATCCAATATGATATGGATCATACCATATAATCCTAATGATTAATTAAATAGATTCAATTAATTGATTTATGGGATTAATTTAGGTTAGATTTTTAAATATCATACAGTATGAACACGTTCGTATAATATGATTAGAACAAATAGTAATTTAAAAAATATTGCCTAAATTTGATTAGCAGCGGGATTTCCTTATTACAACTGATCGTCCTATATGATTATAATGCCACAGCACGATTAGCTCAAATTTAATTTGCTTAATTAAATGTATTAATTAATTTCTATTTTAAGTAGATCGTACAATACGTCCAAATCGTATAGTACGAACTTTAAAAAAAATAACATATTTAATTTCACTCCCCCTATGTGTGTGTGCACGGTTGCTATGCTAATATACACCTTTTACAATACATTGACTCAAGAAAGATAAAAATACAGACTCTTGCAAAAACCAATCCTATATTATCCAGTCTTGAACCTTGAAAGCTTTACTTGGAGTATGTTGTACCTAAAATATTAGTACATACAGAAAACATATGCAATAGTAACATATAAAAGAAAATAGATAAAGTTCAATAATGTTTGTTATCATCAAAATATAGATTCGGGCTCCCGGATTGCAATAATTTACTCAGATAAGATCCTTTCATGATTGATGGGTATGGAGGCACGAACAGTCTCCCTCGACAGTCAATAAGCATAAGCCATGGGTTGGCCAGCAAGAGACAACCCCCATTGATGTGACTCCAGCTCCTGTGAAATTAGTTTTTGCTCCTAGTCTTAAAAGGACATTATCCCCAATGGACTCATACATCGAGTGATTCTAACAATCCCTTGAGGAAGATGATTTTGAAAAAGAGGATTTAGTACACATAGTTTATGTTGTTTACACCATATTGCATAATCATCCTGAGCTTCAAGATGCAGAAGATAAATCAGAGCAGTTCATGACCATTATAATTTATACACCTTCAGTTAACCAACCCTGCGCTCACCCTTGGCCTAATCCACACCTATCGCCAACCAACCCAAGCACACGCTATCAATGTTCTCTATATGATCCACCAACAATTCTAGCGGCAGTGCCATCTCCCTCTTCTAAATCATAAGAAATTTGACTTATATGGCATTCAATAAAACCAAAAACAAAATAGTCTATATTTTAAAAAATCAAATAACTTTTCATTTTATGTCGAAACAGAACCAAACAAAAAATAACAAAAATAAATTAAAACTGATCCCAAACTAAAAATGTAAGCTATAAATGCCTTGGACTTGAATTCACGATTACTTGTTTAGTTCCATGTTCCAAACCAATTAAGTCCCAAAGAAATAAGTAAACCTAAACAACAAACCGTTCAGATCGCTAACAAAAGAACGCTGCCACACATTTTCTGAAGTACCACACCAGAGTTTCAGACAAGAAATTCAACAAACAGAATGTGTGCAACAGCAAGTTCAAGTATGCGCACTTGCCAACCTGCCTCAAGCGAAAGAGTTTTTGTACAAGGGACATCGGCAAATGCGGGACGCAGTGACGAACCCACTTCAAAGCGGTGGTTATCTCTCCATCTCCTGCCGGCGTCCCGCCAGCGATCTCCTTGGCGACGGAAGATGGGTCCTTCTGAGGCGCGAAAGGTGGCAAAGTGAGCCATTTTCCTCCCTCCTTTCTCCTTTGTTCGTCTTCATTCGCTACTGCCAGAGCTGAAGAAAGGCTGCAGTTGAAAGAGGATCGCTGGAGGATTGAACGGGCTATTTGGTCGACTTGCACTGAGAATAACGGAGAGAAATGGCGGCACCGTTCAAGGCGAAGAAGCATAGCCATTTTGACACATTAATTGTTGGTGGAGGGGTATTAAAATTATTGGGCTAAGAACATTTTGATCCCTTGTTTCGAGTTTTGATTGTCAATCAAGAGAATTTGGTTCAAATTTGATGTATATAATGTTTGTGATTTTATCTTAATTGATCTAAATGTCCAAAAAAAAATTCACGGGCTTTGTTTGTTTCGTCGGGCAAATTATTTTTTACTAATAACCCAAATTATGGGTGTTAAAATGCATGGATGGGTGGGGTTTGAGTTTAATATGAAATTGATTTGATTTGAATCCCCTAAATTCAATCCATTTAATAAATAGGTCAAAAAAATGAACTTGAACTCAACCCTAACACGCTAGCAGCTCAAATGACTCGGACTCAACCCATTAATCCCTTTTAGTTACAAAAATTTATAAATTATCAACTATATACTTTATATTATTTGGTCAAAAAAAAGATCACATCTACAAACAAAAAAATATTAAATGAATCATTTTCGTGTCAAAATTAAACTGGTTGGAATTGTAAAATCGAACCCAAATTGTTTATTAAATAGGTTAATCCGAACCTGAGTTCTTTGGGTCGAGTTATTGACACCCCATCCCTGAACCATATGGATTGGAATAATGGTAAGTGCCAAAGAAGAAATCCATAGCTAATTAAATCTCAGAGATTACATTTTATGAATCAATCATCTATATAACCTATCTTTTTATCTAGTTATATATGCAATAATGATATCCATTAAATAATATAATTATAGAGTGTGAAAATAGAGTTAATAGAGAAAGAATAAATTTGAATCATTTTATTTGTTTATGACAGTATATACAAGTGTTGGCTCAAGAAAAATGGTGCGCCGGCATGAATCCCGCTTTGCAGTTATAGGATTTCATTTCTCTTAAGTTTGATTGTAATTAACTATATTTCCCCTAAGGGTAGCATTAGGGTTTAATTAGATCTGAGTTCTTACTTCTCATGAGTGCAAACACTTATAATTAATTACCCCTCCTAACACGTAAGAGAGAACTCTCGATTAAAGATAAATAAATTTTAGGTGTTTTAGTCTCAATTGTGGGAAAATTGGAGGTAAACCCGATCAAGATCCTATGGTTCCATCGTCTAGGGTATATTGTAGGTTTAAGTCTATCAGCAATAACAATCATGGATCATAGTATCCATGGAATTTGATTAGCAACCATGAGTTTTCTCCTTGATCTTAAGGGTACTAAGTAAACTAAAATGGTTAAATATAAATTTTAATTTTATTAGGGGCTTTGGGGTTTACATCTATTAGAATACCCATAATTTAGTTTGATTTGGGTTTTATAATTTCATTTAGAAGTTATCCAAAAGTTTGAATTGAAGTGAGTTTTACGGCTTCTATTAGAAGTAGCCCATAAATTAGGTTTTATGGCTTCTATTAGAAGTAGTCCTTTGGCGGATCTTACAATCAAGCTCTACAGCAAGGCTGCTCATTAGTTTTGAATTTGGTTGACATGTCTTACAACTCTTTTAGAAGTTGCCTATATGTCTAATTTAGAGTGGGACTTACGGTTCTACTCGTGAATTGCCAAAAAATGGATCTTATAACCTAACTTTAGAGTAAGGAAACCCGAGAATTTATTTATTAGGGCAAACCTTACATCTTCCCTTTCAAACGTTGCCTAAAAGTGAGTCTTATAACCTCATTCCTTAGATTAAGATGTCCTTTAATTTTTATTTGAGGGCTTGATATTTCATTTAAAAATTTTCCAAATAATAAATTTCACGACTCCTATTAGAAGTTGCTTAATTATTTGGGTTAGACAGATCTTATTACTTCATTTTTAGAAGTAGCCCATTTGTTGGTCTTAAAATTTAGCTATATAAGCTAAATTGTTTGTTTATTGTGTTTATATTTGGGGTAGGTGTTATAACTTTTCTTAGGAAGTTGCATGAAAGCGGGTCTTATAACTTAATCTTTTAGATTTAGATGCTACTTAACTTTGAATTCATTTGCTTGGGGGTTTAATATTTAAAAATTTCCCAAATAATAGGTTTTGATGACTCTCATTAGAAGTTGCCTAATTATTCGAGTAGAATGTGTCTTATTGCTTTCCCTTTGGAAGTAACTCATTGGTGGGTCTTACAATCTAGCCTTATAAGCTAAAATGCTCATCAATTTGAATTTGGTTGTTATTTTAGAGATATTGCATTTTATTTAGATATTTCCTAAAATATATGTCTTATTACTTCACTTAGAAGTGATCTAATAGTGGGTATTACAACCTAATCTTATAGAATATGATACTCATTAATTTGAATTTGATTAAAATTTTAGGGATATTACATTTTATTTAGAATTTTCATATAAAAAAAGTATTATTACTTCACTTATAAGTGACCCAATAGTGAGTATTATAACATAATCCTATAGACTATGATGCTCAGATATTTAATAGTTTATTTTATTTGAGTGAACAACCATTATTTGTTAGCTTGACAACAAATTTTAGATTTTAGTTATTTACTAGCATTTTGTCAACTAGTTTGACACTTACTAGCTAGTAGATTTTGCTATGTGATACTAATTTTTTTTCAACAGTAGCTATTTTCTTATTTTAATGATTTAGTACTTTACCTTACTCTTTTTTCTTTCAACATTGTTCTACTTTCAGTGGTCTGTTTTACTCTTTGTATCTTAGTGTAGTATTTATTCTTTTTCCTCTTTTAGCATTTATTTATATATTAAATTAATTTTAATACTTAATTAATTTCATTTGCTTGTTGCATGACCTCGTCCAGAGAATACTTTGGAAAGCTTGCAGAATGTGTTGTGGAGAGTTTTATACAAGATTTAGAGAGTAGTGATTGTGAGTTGGAGAGTTTGAGAGTTGTTTATATGTTGTTTGGAGAGTTAGTTGTGTTTGAATTGAGTTATTGTATTTGAGTTATGTTTGAGTTTGAGTTGTGAGCTTGAGTTGAGTTGGAGTTGTTTAGTGGAAATCCCCATTTTTATTGCATTTTATTTTATTTTATTTTAGTTAGATTGGTTGATTGGATTTTAAATTAATTGGTTGGTTGATTTTAAGTTTTAATTTAATTAAATTTAAATTTTAATTAGATTTTAAAAATGAATTTAATTTAAATCCATTTGGTTAGTGAAATGAAATTTTAAATTTAATTAATTAGATTTTAATTAAATTATTTAAATTTTATTTACTTGAATGAGATTTTAAATTAATTGAATGTTGTTTCAATTTTAAATTGATTTTAATTGTGTTGTTATTTTCTATTGAATATTTAATTATTAAATATGATTAAATTAAATGGATTTTAAATAGAGTTTTAGTTTGATTTATATATTATGTTTTAATTATTTAAATGATTAATTAAATTAAATGTTTTTTTTTATTAATTAAGAACAATGACATAGGATCTTCAAAAACTTGAAACACTTATTTTATTATTTAAGTAATTATATAAGTATGTTATGTTAATTAATTAGGTTGTTGGCTTCAGTCATTAACTTGTGCAAATCGATATAATTCCAGATAATTATTATCACGAAGGCAAGCTGACTTGATGTGCATGAGGTAGGGAGTTCGAACAGTCTGTGAGTTCGGCTCATTTGAATGAGCAAATCAACATGGGGCTAGGGGGCTATGATAGTAACTGGAGGAAATCCAAAGAGAGGTGGAACTGAGAGGGATATTCAGATTTTCAAGAAGGCGAGCATAAGTTCCTCTTTTGTTCAGTTTCTTCCCCTTCTTTTTTATCGAATGAGTCGCTAGATGGGAATTACACTAGTGAAGCAATGAACTGCTTGAGTGGGGTCAAATTGGAGCGTGAAGAGATGCTTTTATTTAAGATTTTTTTATTATATGATATGATACTATATAGACATGCTACATGACATGAATGATATAGGCATATGATAAGATTGATTCAATGACACATGATATGCACAAACTAAATGATATACATTGCATATGATATTTGATAAGCCAGCTAATAAGTAAGCAGACCAAATAAGTCTTCTCTCTTATATGCTTGTAGTGCACTGAGCACTCACACCTACTGCGCCAAAAGTAATGTTAGGACAGCTACGTTTAACCGTTGATCTCTAACGATTTGCATCATGACCATTGATGTCTATATCATCTTCTTCGTGTAGTTGATATAAATATGTATTAGCTGCACTAGTAAAGTAATGAAGCAAAAGGCTCCTAACTTACTATTTCATTCATCTGCTTCTCCCATACTCTGTTTTCTATCTTCTACATTTCCTTGCAGTTCATGTTGGAGAATGAAATTCATCATGGTATCAGAGCGTTGCAACTCTGATTAATGATTGATTGTTTTGTGTTAAATCTTCTGTTTAAATGGATTCCTCGCCTGATTCCTCTACCTCAGTTAAAGCTGCATCGGCTGTAAAAATGGCAGATATTCCTATAGTTGCTCAACTGAAATTTCTAATGACTAATGTGAAAGCTGTCCTCAGCATTCAGCTAACAGTCGAGAACTATCCCCTCTGTAAGTCTCAGGTATTTAAGCTTTTCACGAATATAAATATTATGTTCTTTTTATCGATGATTATTCTCGTTTCACCAGGCTTTATCCGCTACATGCTAAATCTGATGTGTTTAATGTATTTTGCCAATTTCAAAAATTAGTTGAACGCCAATTTGATACTAAAATTAAATGCTTTAGATTAGATGGCGGTGGTGAATACTTCTCTAAAAAATTTCAACTCATTCTTTCTCAATCTGGTATTGTTCACCAGCACACATGTCCTTATACACCAAAACAAAATGGTGTTGCCGAATGTAAACATCGGCATATTTTGGAAACCGCTCTAGCACTTCTATTTGAAGCAAATTTTCCTCAAAATCTTTGGCTACATGTTGTTCAAACGGCTGTAGATTTAATCAATCTTCTACCTTCTCTTTCCAATAAACTGAATTCACCGCTTCAAATGCTATACAAATCATCACCTGATTATCTAGCTTTATGCACTTTCGGGTGCCTATGTTATCCATTCTTGCCCTCTCAAGCTATCTCCAA